AATTACTTCAAAAACAGCGATTTTACCACCTCGTTGCTGAGGAATATAATGTAGCGATCTAGTATCTAGGCTATTTTATTAATGAAAATCACGGGGAAGCGTTGACAACAAGTTTGTGTGTGTGTGCAGCGCAATCAGCGATCTCTGACCTCTCTCTCTCAATTCAATTCAATTCAAAATTGCTTTATTGGCATGACTGTAAGTGATACAATATTGCCAAAGCTTAGTATACATGTACATGTCTCTCTCTCTCTCTCTCTCTGTGTGTGTGCGAGTGATGTGCATTGATTAGTGTGCATCAGATAAAGCAGCGCATTAAATATTAAATTTTTTCTTAAATATATACATGCATGTGTGTGTATTATATAAACATAATAAATATACACAGTACACACACATATATTATGTAAACAAAAACTTTTATTTTGGTCGCGATTAATCGCGATTAATTGGTTGACAACATTAATTTATATTCATAAAATGTATATATATATATATATATATATATATATATACATATATTTCATATATAAACGTAACATATTTTTCTTAAATATATACATGCATGTGTGTGTATTTACAGTATATATACATAATAAATATACACAGTACACACACATACCATGTAAACAAAACCTTTATTTTGGATGCGATTAATCGTTTGACAGCATTAATTTAAACATAGAATATTCATTTAATATTATTCTAGAGTAATAAGCTACTTCCTACATTTGTCTGAAGAACTTAAAATACTTAATCTTTTCCTTGAATACATGTGAATTCACAGAGTTTCCCAGCCATTTCCAAACCCAACGGCACTAGCAGTCCTAAACCAGGCCATGGAATAATCAGCCATCGAAACCCACGGCGTTCCTCCAGCGACCTGATTTCTCCCGTCCAAACCCCTGAGACTCCAGCCTCGGTCGCTCTGACGCAGGACAGCCCGTCTCAGCCCAGACCCGCTCCGACCGGCTCGCCCGCGGTTCCCAGCGGAACCTCGTCTCCCAGCCTCAGAGTGGCCCAGATGCCCGGCGGCGGCCCGGAGACACCCGGAGTCACCCACCAGCAGTTCAGAGCCGCGCTGCAGATGGTGGTGGGCACCGGCGACCCTCGCTCGTATCTGGAGAACTTCGTGAAGATCGGCGAGGGCTCCACGGGCGTGGTGTGCATCGCCCGAGAGAAGCTCAGCGGGCGGCAGGTCGCCGTCAAGATGATGGACCTCAGGAAGCAGCAGAGGAGAGAACTGCTCTTCAATGAAGTACGAGCGTCTCATCTGTCATTCACAACACATTTAGGGCCAGATTTACTAAACAGGGCAAATTAGCGTGAGAGCGCAATTCCAAAAATAGGCGTTTGAAATTTCTCACGCAATATACCAAGCGCAGTCGCAAATAAGCAGAGCCGATGCTCATCAGGTGCGGGTCACCTTTTATTTATATAGCGCTTTTAACAATACAGATTGTGTCAAAGCAACTTTACAGTATAAAATAGGAAAATAGTGTGTCAATAATGCAAATTGACAATAGTAAACACTCAATGTTCAGTTAAAGGCAGTTCATCGTTGAATTCAGTGATGTCATCATCCAGCTCAGTTCAGTTTAAATAGTATCTGTGCAATCAAGTCGACGATAAAAAATCTTTCTCCCGCTATATATATATATAGTATTGATATTATAAAAAATGTTTTCTGGATGTCTTTACACACAGGTGGTTATCATGCGAGATTACAGGCATAAAAACGTGGTGGAGATGTTCAAGAGTGCTTTGGTGGGTGAAGAGCTCTGGGTCATCATGGAGTACCTGCAGGGCGGCGCTCTGACCAACATCGTCTCAGAAACCAGGTAAGAAACTGTTTTTAACATATACTTGACATGAATGATTCCTCAGATCATATGTTATTGATGAGAGGTGTGCTGGACATTACTGAGTGATCGGATGCATAATTTTCACCTGAAATCATACTGAAGTGTTAACATCAATCCATGAAAACTTCTACTGCACCGACACAGTTAAGATCTTCTCCCAGATGGTATCTTAAAAAGCTTCACTAAAGCAAGAACAAGATTTTTTCTGTTCGCTCATGTCTGCTGTAAGGAAAGAGTTACATAACAATCTGGAAACTGGTTTCTTTTTACAGCTCTTTATTGATCTTCACACATTCTTCATTCTAAACCTCTTACATCAAGCATTAAACGCCTACGATGAAGTCAGATTAGATTGCAGACTTTGTGGAATAGTTCCTGCAATACTTTATGCAAGAATGCAATGTGAATATGTTGTGAAATGTAATGCATCATACAAATATTCACGATGCCAATAAACATGCAGTAGTGTTCAAATAGTATTGGGTTTGTAAGATTGTTTTAATGCTTTTATTTGAAGCATTTATTTGATCAAATATACAGTAAAAAATCAGAAATATTTTTACAGTTTAAAATAGCCATTTTCTATGTGAATCTATATTAAGCTGTAATTTATTTCTGTGATGCACAGCTGAATT